GCTAAAGACAGAGTCGAAAGAGAAAAGACTCAAGCCTCATACTCACCTCCTCACATAATTAAAGAAAATTTCCTGAGGACAAGATGAATTTTTTTTTGCCATTGTCTTAGCTATAGATATCAAAAACTGTTTCCCAATGGCAAGTTTATCTAAAAATTGCTGGAAAAAAGATTAAGGGGGGTGTTAATCTAAGGGATACTGAATGTGTCCCTCATTATTAAAAAACTGAAACTACTGCCAAAATTATACACTTACTAATTATAATGACTTTAATCTCTTGAAGTATATATTAATAGATAATGTAATAAAATTCCATCTACTTATTTACAATTGAAAATCAGTATTTACATGAGTTTAATGAATTAGGCAACTTCATCATCAGCACGTTTTAGTAAGCCACCATTAGCCCATTTCCCAAGTAACTAACAGTTGTATTTATTTCTTTCTGACTAAACTTTCTGCTGTAGATAAGTCAACTTCTCTTTCTATTTCTACTTCTGTGCCTACCTCTTTGTCTCTGCTCCTAATTGTCTCTGTTCTATTTCCTATTGCTATTTCTATTTTGGTCTTTATCTAAATTTATGTCTTTTCAGATCTTGGTATATCTATAGGTCTTTGTCTAGAAGTCTACAATGGCATGCCATGTGGCGGTAATCTTGGTATCTCAAATGGCTGAAAGACACTTAAGGAAATGTGTGACATCCTTAGCCATCAAGGAAATGCAAATCAAAATAACTCTGAGATACCATCTTAATCCAGTTAAAATGGATAAAATCAAAAACAGTAATGAGAGCTTATGCTGGAGAAGTGGAGCAAGGAGAATACTACTCCATTGTTGGTGAGAATGCAAACTTGTAAACAACCACTCTGCGGGTTCTCAGAAAATTGGGAAACAACCTACCTCAGGACCCACTCTTGGGCATATACCCAAAGGATGTTCAGTCATACTACAAGGACATTTTTTCAACTATGTTCATAGCAGCATTATTTGTAATAGCCAAAACCTTGAAACAACCTAGATGTCCCTCAACTGAAGAATGGGTAAGAAAATGTGGTACATTTTCACAATGGAGTACTAATCAGCATTAAAAAACAATGACAACTTGAAATTTACATGCAAACAGATGGAACTAGAAAAAAAAAAAAAAACATCCTGAAAGAGGTAACCAGATCCAGAAAACTGAGCATGGTATATACTCACTCATAAGTGGATAATAGCTATAAAACAAAGGACCACAAGCCTATAGTCCATGACCCTAGAGAAGCTAAGTAACAAGGTGAACCCTAAGAAAGATCTATAGATCCCCCTGAGAAGGAGAAATAGATAAGATCTCCTGACAAAATTAGGAGCATGTGGGTGGGGGAGAAGGGAGGGTGCATTAGGAAGAGGACAGGAGGAGAGGGGGAACTTGAGGGAACAGAATAGTAGAGATAAAGGACAGAGTTGAAGAGCAAGGAAAGAGACATTTTAATTGAAAGAGTCATTGTGGGGGTAGAAAGAAACCTGGCACTAGAGAAATTCCCAGGACCGCAAGGATGACCCCAGCTAAGACTATAAGCAATAGGGGAGAAGGTCCCTGAATTGGCCTTGCCCTGTAGTCAGATTGATGACTATATTAAGTATCACCATAGAACCTTTATCTAGCAACTGATGGAAACAGAGGCAGAGACCTGCAGCCAAGCACTGGCCTGAGCTCCTAAAGTGCAGTTGAAGAGTGGGAGGAGGGAGAATATTAGCAAAGAGGTCAAGACCATGATGGGGACACTCACTGAAACAGTTTATCTGAGCTAATGGGAGCTCACCAACTCCAGACAGACAGAGAAGGAACCCACATGGGACCAAACTGGACTCTCTGAATGTGGATGACAGTTGTATGGATGGGCAGACTGTGGGGCCACTGCAGATAAATCTGTGGCATGAGGATTTATCCCTATTGCTTGTACTGGCCTTTTGGGAACCCATTCTCTTTGGATGGATGCCTTACTCAGCCTAGATATAGTAGGGAGGGCCCTGGACCTTCCTCAAAGCAATGTGCCTTACCCTTTCTGAGGAGTGGATAGGGAGTGGGGTGGAGGAAGGAAGGTAGAAGGAATAAGAGGAGAGGAGGGACTGGGAGCTAGGATTGGTATGTAAAATGAAAAAAAGTTTCTATTCTTTCCTTTTTGTTCTTTTTTTTTAAAGGTCTATGTCATTGCTGCCTGGTCCGTTAGACTGGCCAGTGTGGTTGTTTTATTTTCTTGATTCTCAGGCAAGCTTTATTAAAATACAAATGCAATGCGCTACAGATTTCTCTTTCCCCATAATTTAACTAGGATTTGTTTGCTTGCTTGCTTGGTCACCATCTGAATGCATAATATGGAATCTGAAAGTGGTTTTTTAATTGGTGTTTCTCTGATCTTTAAGGATGCAGAACACTAACAGACATTTATTTGACATTATTTTGATAGCTGTCTGTTTGCTTGATTAGCTCATCTTGATTTATGGTAATGTTTATATTTGTATTTCTTCATGTACTCCAACTATCAACTCCTGTGTGATGTGCAGTCTGTAATATTTCCCTCTCATCACTCCTCTAAGCATTTAGTGTGCTACACAGAAGTTTACTAACTTCATGTGATCATGTTTTCTTTATATTTATTATTACAGTGGATTCTTTTCAGAAAGGTTTATGCCTCTATCTTGATATATTTTCTCTGTATTTTCCTCTATCAGTTTCAACATTTTGGATGTTATATTAGGTATTTATCCATTGTGAGGTGATTAGTTTTCAGAGAAAATTATTTATTTTCATCTTTCTATGTGGATACCCTAATACAACAGCTAGTTTCTGCTGTGAGACTTTTACCAGATTTTCCTCTTACATCTTTAATTTGTCTTGTTTCTCCTGTGAGTTTTCTAACAGTTAAGCTTTCTAATTTTTCTGTGGCAACAATTTTAGAACAGTGCATACCTACGACAATGATAGTGGTTTTAACAACACTCAGACTTTTCTGACTTTAGAAGAATTTTTGTGTTTCCCTTATCTTGAATTCTTCAGGCAAATGGATAGAGCTAGAAAACATCATTTTGAGTGAGGTAAACCAGATACAGAAAAGTAATCATCACCTGTACTCACTCGTAAGTAGTTTTTTTTTAACATAAAGCAAAGAAAACTAGCCCACAAAAATTCGACACCAGTGTGGTGGATCCAGGGCACGTCAGCTTGCAAACCCATTTTCTCTACATTAGACTCATTAAGGAATGACATTCCCCCTCAAGATACTTGATTCATCAGCACACATGTGATGTAGGTGTACTTAATTGTGTTTGCCCTTTCATGGAGTAAGAGAAGTTAAAGGATTAATAAACATACACATTTCTGTTTAATAAAATTTTCAATATGTCTGTGAAATATGAGCAAAAAATAAAATAATGTACTTTATAGTATTGTGACTGGTAACTCAAAAGCAGTATTTCACCCAGTTTGCCTTGCGATCTGAAATGTAAGGATTTTTTAAAGATGGATCAGGAAGATATTTTGGAAGTAATTCTGTGAAAGAATGTAAGAAGTGTTATGTGTATAATATTCATGGGGGAATATAAATTTTGAAACCAGAGTCATCTGAAATAGGTCTTCTTTTTTATTTTATTTTCATTTTTATTGAGCACTACATTTTTCTCTGCTCTGCACCCTACCTCTCCCCTCCCCTTCAACCCTCTCCCAAGGTCCCCATTCTCCCAATTTACTCAGGAGATCTTGTCTTTTTCTACTTCCCATGTAGATTAGATCTATGTAAGTCTCTCTTGGCTTCCTCATTGTTATCTTATATTAGGTATTAAAAACTTTATTGAACAAAAGTATGTATGTTTATTAATCTGTTAACTTCTCTTACTCTATTGAAAGGGCAAACACAGTAAAGTACACCTACATCACATGTGTGTTGATGAATCAAGTATCATGAGGGGGAATGTCATTCTTTAATGAGTCCATAGTTGGAAAAAAGTAGACAAAATGGGTTTGCCAGCTGACGTGCACTGGATCCAGCACACTGGTGTCGAGTTTTTGTGGCTTGCACGTGACATCCATCATATATATCACCACTCTTTGCACCTCTAATTTTCTCTGTGTATCAGAGAGTTTAAGCTTTTCGTTTTCTCCTAAATCCAAAAACTTTCCTCAATCCCTTTTTAGGAAGTAAATATTTTGTGTCTAACTCTGTACAAATTGTCTATCAGCAGAGAATCAACACTCAACTTCAACTTTAGCTTGTTGGTTGGTAAGGAAGTCTTATAAGTCATTGACATTCACAGAACATGAAATTTTGCTGAAATTAATGTGAGTGTGTCCACTTTGGGTTTTATTTTCTTGTGATCCAGATAACATGGATTATATTAAATTCTTAATGAACCATTTTCCTTATATAAATTTTCATAATATAAATTTCCTAATAAATTATTTAGAAACAAACCAGTAACATCTGCTCTAAGATCCTTGCATTTTATATGGTGATCTCTTTTGATACTGATTTCTATTCCATTCATCAAATAAAAAAAAGAAATATTCCTAATTCTATTCCTAACTTCTTTTGACTGCCACTTGATAATCACTTGTCTAAACTATATGTTCTTATCAATATATTTTATATTGCTATGAAGGCAATGAAGTAAAATAGTTTTTAAAAAGCTATGAAACATTTAGAAATGAGGCAAGGAGTCTTGGTGTTCCATATTATACTTCTGACCATGTAGCATCTCCCCTGGGTACATTTGGCAAAGTGTGGAATACAGAGCACATAGTCTAAGATATGGGAATCTTAGATAAAGAAATCAACTCTACTCCATGTTAGATGTGTGGACTAAGTGGATCTAGAACTGCATTTAACCATATTTTAATTGTATTTTAAATAATGGTATATATTTCACTAGGCTGTTTTGAAAGATTGGTAGAATACATCTTTGTGGGCCATTAGTAAAAACAGAAAAACTATCAGGCTTTTCAGAAGTTAAGAGCAATCTCTTTTTATTTTGTAAGGAGCAAACTAAGGATAGCCTTTTGGATTTGTTTTGTTTTTAAACTATAGATGATGGGGTTGAGCACAGGGAGTAAAATAAGGTAAACATTGGCCATCATCAAATGGACTACTTTGGGGGCTGACTGACCATAGCGATGCACCAAGGACAGGCTAAACATAGGGATGTAGAGAATAGCAACTGCTCCAATGTGGGACACACAGGTGCTGAAGACCTTGTACCGTTCTCCAGAGGAGGCAATAGTGAGGACAGAACGGATGATCAGTATATAAGACAAGACAATGCTTGGAGTATCTACTCCCGTGGTTAGAAGGAGATCAACTAATCCACAGATGCTGTTGGCCCGAGTGTCTGAACATGCTAACTTAATCACATCTGGATGATAACAGTAGGAATGGGAGAAAGAAAGATAACAGTAGGAATGGGAGAAAGAAACGAGCTTAAGGAGCAAAAGTAGGGGAACTATTAATACTATAGCACGCATAATCACTAGGAACCCCATCTGAATGATTCTAGAATTAGTAAGAATTGTAGTGTATCTAAGAGGATTACAGATTGCTATGTAACGGTCAAAAGCCATAGCCACCAGCACCCCAGATTCTATACATGTGAACCCGTGAAGAAAAAACATCTGAACAATGCACCAGTCTAGACTGATTTCATTTGCACGAAACCACAGGATCCTCAGAGTGGTTGACATTGTAGAAATAGTCAAACCCAGGTCAGTGCTGAGAGCACGGAGAGGGAGTAGTACATAGGTTCATGCAGACTCTGCTGGGTCACAATGATAAAGGGGATCATGCTGTTCCCAGAGAGGGCGGTGGCATAAAGGCAGCAGAAGGGGATGGAGATCCAGGCATGAGCAGATTCTAGGCCAGGAATGCCAGTCAACAAGAAAGTTGGTGTATTCATTGTGAAGTTGCTCAGGAATTCTATGCTGTCCTGCATTTGTAGCATTTGACTTTACAATACTCACATCCAAAGAAGTAACAAACTATAGTGTCACAAAAAGTGTTTAGATGATTTTCTGATTAAAAATAATCACTCTAGAAAATAAAGTTCTTTATCCAAAACACTAAAATGTATTAATCTAGCAATTATAACTAGAGGCATTTAGAAAAGACAATGATTTTTTCCTTAAAAGGAGAAAATATACTCACATAATTCTGCATACTTATAAATTTGTTTTTATATTCACATACTTTTAAGTTCCACCAGATTATGTGCACAGATAGTCATTTCTGAGAATGTAGAAAATAGGAATGTTACAGTGTGGAAGACTTGGTTCCTAGAACACAGAAAAAAAAAGGGCATTGGATTCGAATATGCGGTGTATAAAGTGTGCAAGGGAAACCTACGTAAATATACTTGTGTATTTGGCATTGTTCTGCCTATGTGACACTCCAGACTTAGATCTCTAGAAATCGATCATTTTAATCACACAGAATAGAAGAACAGACAAGGAGAATAGGTTATTAAAGGAAAATTAATGAAGACAGAGTAATGTGGAAGTTTAAGGGAAGGGTTATATCTCCTAAGCCATGGAAAGTCTGAATGCTTTATGAGAATCATAAAAACAAAGAGGACATGGCTTCCCCATGTACATGTTAATAACAGAGCTGAACTGCATGAGCTGCCGAGTTTAGTGTGTATTAAAACATTCGAGTTCAGTTCAGAGTATGTTAGTGATCTGGAGAAAAGCAGGTGCCCATGCCACCTGAAACCGCCACTGCAGCAGTGCCTTAGGGAGTGGGAGTAGAAAGGTGCTGGTGTAGGTTATGTCATTTTCAGAAACGAAGCAATTAGGGCAATGACAGAAAAGGGTTGGGACTGAAGGAAGGTGTAAGATTTACGGATATGTTATGAAAATGGGAGAATTTAGAGAAACATACAAATTTATAAACTGCAGTTTTAGGTCCAGTAGATGGTGGTGAATTTTATATAAAGGAGAGAGTTCAACTGATACTTGAATCTGAAAGCATCATGGGATTGAGCACAGGAAAGAGAGCAAATAGACCCCAGAAAGATGAGGGTAGCATTTTCATTGACACTTAGGCTGTGTCAACTTGGTAGACTGGTGGAGAGTCACTCCAGGGAGTTTCCCTCAGTGGCCACAGATCTCTCAGGGAATCAGTGGAGAGTCACTCCAGGGAGTTTCCCTCAGTAGCTACAGTTCTCTCAGGGAATCAGTGGAGAGTCACTCCAGGGAGTTTTCACTCAGTGGCTACAGTTCTCTCAGGGAATCATGAACGTAGATTTGCTCCTTTCCAAATAGTGTGGAGTGCTGGATGTTAGTTTGAGGACAAGGTAGAAGATAGAATTAGACAGGCAGATGGTTCCACAGGCATAAGTGTTTTAAAGTTCTATTAATTTAAAATTACTTAATTAATTTATAGGATAACTAAAATCAAAGAGTAGCAATGCTACTTACCTTATTAAGGTTTTCAGTCAAATTGAGCATGAAATTTATGTTATCCTAGTAAATATATTGTAATGTATAATGTATAATTCTTCTCAGGCCATTTTTCTTCTGTTAAATATCTAATTTCATGACTTGCAACTATATATGAGAAGAATAATTACAATATATAGCTATAAAATAATTACAAAGTATACCTTGATAATATATGGATCCCAAAGAATAGAGTAGAGTATACTTTACCTTATCTGTAAGCCTTTTGAATATTTGTGTGTAGGTAATAAATAAAATACAAAGACAACACAGTGAACATCCTCATCTATCTTCCAGGGCTGTGTGGAAACAGTAAATTCCTATGTCTTTGCTAGTAGACATAGAACAGGCTATCAAGGGACCTATAGCCTTTATAGTAAGTTTCAACTGAACTGTGAGATTATATGTAAGATGTGTATCTCTCTGGGGAAACTAACAAAGAATAAGCAGCTTGTATAAAAATGGAAGGTACCACCACTGACTCCCCAAAGATATTAAACTATTATCTCAAATGAACAGTGGTCCCCAGGAGTACTGGATGATAAAGGAAGCCAAAGCATTCATAAATGGTTGGCTCTCCACATTGATGTACTCTGTTTCTTGTGCATTATGCTACACCACGGTGAGTTCAGACGTGCACTATCGTGTCTGAATAAACCCCATTTCCTGTAGTTATCAGTCATCACCTCTGACTCATGCAATGCTTCCACTATCTCCTCTGTGATGATACCTGAGTCTTGTGGGGAAGGCTGCTCTCTAGATTGCCCATTTAGGACTTATTACTCCATGATCTCTTATTCTCTGAAAACTACTAGTTATGGCTCTTTGTAATAATTGCCATCTACTGCAAACAGAAACTTCTCTGATGTGAGCTGATGGGTGCACTAATCTACAGGTATAGCAATGAGCATCAGAACTCATTTTAACACTATGCCCACTTAGCAGAATAACAGTAGGTTCATCCCTAGGGCCTATGGCAAATCTAGCCACAGGTTCTTGGCCCCATTAATGTTCCCAGGCATGAGCTCTATCTAGTTGAAAGGACCTTAAATCTGATCTGAAATCAGTCATTTACTTACACAACATTTGAGCCTTTATTTCAGCAGAAGGCATATCTTGCCAAGATCATCATTGTTATAGCTTATATTGTTCCCAGATGAGTACGATTATGCCTAGCATCTTCTAGATAAAATCAAACTAGGCAGGAGGAATGAAGTTCTCAGATCAGTACCTTATTGATTTCTCTCTGTTCTATAACTCATATATGTGGTGTCTTCCGCAACAGAGTGTAATGGGTTATAGTTGTACTTAAGGTACACAATGTGATACTGTTAAGTGTGTATACAAGGTACTATTATGAGATCAGGAAAATTAGTATATACATTTCTTCTGATGTTTATCATGTCTCAGTGCAAAAACGTTATTCTATATATTGTGATATTTGATGTTTTGATTAAAGAATAAGAGAAGAATAAATAGAAGAATCTCTTGAATCTGAGAATAAAGCATGACAGTGAATTCACTCATATGCCTATGTTTTGTAACTGTGTAATACCCACCCAGGTCCAAAGACATATAGTTTACAAAGAAAATACTGGAAAAAAGCATAGAATTGTGTCCTCAAGTGACAGTTTTTATCTAATAAAGGAAAAGTTATATAAAGCCCTAATACAATACTATCCTAATTCATAGCCTCTAGCCTTTCATTAATTGTTAACCATATAACTAAGATAAACTATATTATAAACATTTACTCAGTCACCTGGGCAAATTGGTTGCTAATCTCAACCGATCCTGCAGTGAGGAAACGACTTGATCAGTTTGTGTATTTTATCTTTCTCCTAAGGGAGGGATAAAGAAACAATGAGCATTTTCACTTCTTGTGGTCAGAAATGGTTATGATAAGAAAAACAGTCTTCAGTAGAGTGGGATAGCTGTCACTAGAACACAGGGAATCAGGAAATATAAGAAAATAAGAAGGAGTTTAACCATTAAGTAGCTGTGTGTTCTATCAAAGTGACATAATTATGAAAAAAAAAAACACCTTAAGGTAGTGAGGATGTATTTGGTTCATGCTCAATTGATTTCATTATTGAGGACCTAGAGTGAAGCTAAAGGAACATTTGGTTGAGAATAGCATCTTAACAAATAGTGAGTAAGAAAGAAAGAGGAAAAAACAGGAAGGGATCATTGAAGGACATTAACTCCAATGATAGAATCCCAGTGACTGACTACATCCAGTCAAGTTCTACCTCCAAAAGAGTGGTACAACTGGTCTTTCGTAATTTGTGCCTTTTGTGTTCTAATTTTTTGTAATCCAATTTTATAAGATAGGTAATTGACAGAGTCTCCTCTGTATTTTTTCAGGAGTAATTTGTAAGCCCCATCTTGGAAAAATTTTCTTTTCTTCTTCAAACATTTTTTCTAAAGTGTCTATGCTTGAATCAGATAGTAAAATGTCATCCATGTAATGGTAAATTATAGATTTAGAAAAATTTTTACATATTATTTCCGATGGCTGACTTACAAAGTATTGGCATAGGATGGGATATTGAACATTCCCTGTGGAAGGATTGTCCACTGGTATCTCCTATTAGGTTGAGAATTATTATAAGCAGGCACTGTGAAGGCAAATTTTTCTCTGTCCTTTTCTTGTAAAGGCATAGTGAAGAAATAATCTTTTAAATCAATAACTCTAAGAGGCCATCCTTTTGGTAATAAAGAAGTCAGTGGAATTCAGATTTAGAGGGCCCAAAGGTTGAATTACCTTATTGACAGCCATTCTCCATTTACCAGATTTATTTTTAACAACAAATACAGAAGAATTCCAAGGGCTGGTTGATTCTTCAATATGGTGAGCATCTAGTTGTTCTTGTACCAGCTGTTCTAAAACCTGCAGTTTTACTTCAGTTAGAGGCAACTGTTTAACCCATACTGATTTCAGTTAACCATTTTAAACGTAGGACTGTTGGTACCTCTAAAGGTTTGCTAGTTGCTTTGTGTTCTTGTACTGATGGAGGAGAGTCATCTGTTTATGTGTTACTTTCATTAGTTAATAAAGAAACTGCCTTGGCTCTTTGATAGGACAGAAAATTAGGTAGGCAGAGTAAACAGAACAGAATGCTGGGAAGAAGGGAAGTGAGGCAGTTGCCATGACTCTCCTTTCTAAGAATCCTTCCCGGTAAGCCACCACCTTGTGGTACTACACAGATTACTAAATATGGGTTAAAGCAGGATGTGAGAATTAGCCAATAAGAGGCTACAGATAATGGACCAAGCAGTGTTTAAATAAATACAATTTGTATGTTGTTATTTCAGGTATAAAGCTCATCATGCAGGAGCTGGGTGGGAATGCAGCCCACCACTCCTCATCTACATTATTTTACAGCCTGAATGGCTGGTGAACTTTGTGTATAGTAATTTATAATATTATTCCCAGAATTATGAGTTCCTGGGACTGCAAGAATGTTAACCTGGGTGTTCCATTTCTGCAGCAGGTCACAAT